GGATGGATGGATGGATGGATGGATGGATGGATGGATGGATGGATGGATGGATGGATGGATGGATGGATGGATGGATGGATGGATGGATGGATGGATGGATGGATGGATGGATGGATGGATGGATGGATGGATGGATGGATGGATGGATGGATGGATGGATGGATGGATGGATGGATGGATGGATGGATGGATGGATGGATGGATGGATGGATGGATGGATGGATGGATGGATGGATGGATGGATGGATGGATGGATGGATGGGGATGGATGGATGGATGGATGGATGGATGGATGGATGGATGGATGGATGGATGGATGGATGGATGGATGGATGGATGGATGGATGGATGGATGGATGGATGGATGGATGGATGGATGGATGGATGGATGGATGGATGGATGGATGGATGGATGGATGGATGGATGGATGGATGGATGGATGGATGGATGGATGGATGGATGGATGGATGGATGGATGGATGGATGGATGGATGGATGGATGGATGGGATGGATGGATGGATGGATGGATGGATGGATGGATGGATGGATGGATGGATGGATGGATGGATGGATGGATGGATGGATGGATGGATGGATGGATGGATGGATGGATGGATGGATGGATGGATGGATGGATGGATGGATGGATGGATGGATGGATGGATGGATGGATGGATGGATGGATGGATGGATGGATGGATGGATGGATGGATGGATGGATGGATGGATGGATGGATGGATGGATGGATGGATGGATGGATGGATGGATGGATGGATGGATGGATGGATGGATGGATGGATGGATGGATGGATGGATGGATGGATGGATGGATGGATGGATGGATGGATGGATGGATGGATGGATGGATGGATGGATGGATGGATGGATGGATGGATGGATGGATGGATGGATGGATGGATGGATGGATGGATGGATGGATGGACACAGATGGTCATGAATGTAATACATTTCCTATAAAGTCATTAAAATCAAACCAGAACCAGGAAATCAATATTTATCATTGAGGCAAAAGGAACAGGAAGTAAAGCATTGACACCCAAATATAACCAAAGCACTGTTTTCATTCTCCACATTATTCCAGATTGTCTGAACCCATGTCTAACAAGTGTAACAGCGCCCTCTTCGGGCTGGGAGTACACTGCAACGGTAAAATATGCATAAAACAAACCTTTCCACGTAGAAAAGACAGATCACTGCTTCCAATGATGTGAAGATCCTCTGTTGATTGGTCATTCTGGAGGAAACACGAGATTTGACTTTTAACTGCTTCACAAAGATCAGCGATGATCATCAATTTGTTTAGTTAATTCATATTTTACACTAACAATGAAAGCTCCCGCAAATATACAGCAAAAATTAGAGACCGGATATTTTATAATCTATTGTATGCTATATATTTGAGCTCTGTTATTTTTCAAAGGTTAGATTGAAGACATGTTCCTATCTGAAAATGGTCTGAAAATGAGTGAGAAAGTCAAAACTACACTACAAGATTACAAAACAAGCAACAATGGGTGATGCTGCTCATTTAAACTTTCTGTGTAAAGAAAAACAAACAACCCAAAACAAAAAATAAGGCTCTTGACCTTGTCTGACTCTGAAAACCTGCCATGTTCTCTTATGTAGGAAAGGGAGTGAAAGGAATGTGGCCACATGCAGGGAAACATAATTCAGACATGTGCCAAAAACACGCCATAAAATAACATCGTCCAGATGACAGCATTCAAATTCACTCAGTGATATCACTGTAAAGACATCTTTATCATTCCCCAGAGTTTTTCTTGGCAAAGGCAAATGAATCTATCCATACTGGCAGGATTGTGTTATTACTCCATAGCCTTGAAATCATTCCTCACCAAACCCGAACAACAGCAACACCTGGTGGTCAATCACTGATGTGTTCACGCTGCAAAAACCATTTTGCAAGTTGAAACTGCCACTAGAGGAAATTTGGCTGAAGCATTTTTATATACAATGGTGTTTTTACTTTAAATGCAATAAATATAAATATGTATATATGGCTTAATTACTACTCTGAATATGTTGTTTTTTTTCAGTAAAATACTCCAGTTAATGATTAATCGATTAGTAAATCAGTTGACGATTAATGAACAATTAATCACGATTAATTGTACCAACACTACTCAAAACACTACTTATAAATATTTATGTTTCTGCAACAAAAGATGAATTTATTTAAAGTTTTTATCCAGATCTTTACCAGAGGAACACACAAGCTGTTAGCTTTTAGTTTGTTTCCATAAGTTTGCCTACCAGGTAGCTCTTCAGGCGGATAAACTCCACCCGGGTCTCCAGGTACCGGTTGGAGCTGCGTCCCAGAACCTTGATGTACTCCACCAGATCTGCACAGAACTTGTATCCTCCCTTCAGGACGCACAGCACCATGATCTTACTGTCCTCAAAGTCCTCCATGATGTACCGGGCCAGGCGCTCTATCCTTAGCAGGAGGAGAAAACCACACAGTAGGAGATGGATTACCGACACATCATGTGTGTTCGTACCGGTTCATGATGACTCCGTGGGGAATGTAGACGTTCTCAATGTCGTCGTGGTAATGTTCAGGGTAGGTGAACAGATCCAGGTTGTAGCCAGGCCAGTCATCTTTGATCTAGAACAGACAGCAGAGAGTAAGTACAACAGCAGCTTCCTGCAAATCAGGCAAATCATTCAGGTGGCGTTTTAGAGCAGATCGCCTGGAAGCTCCCACCGAAAGTGATCCGTGCCACTGAGACCATCAAAAAAGAAAACATATGGATACTCTTGACCAATGTGCGATACAAAGTCACATGAACAAAATGGCTTAGTTTCTATGGTAAACATCCTAGTACACTTCAAATTAAACAAAACTAACTTCAACAAGAAACAGGAGCTTGTTTTTAGGTAAATAATTGCTTAAAATGGACAAAAAGCAGTTGTTCCATTAAAGTGGTGTACGGCAAGCCCCAATAATTAAACAATTATTGTTTGGCTTGACAAAAAAATCCAGAAAACTATTGATCAGAACTTTTTTAAATATTAAACATTCTAGCTGCTCTGACTCAACATATAGATTTTTAGTTCACAACATTTGGAAAGTGAGCATAATAACCTACCACAATTCCTCTTTTTGCTCTCATTTCATCCATTTGCAGTGGTGGTAAAATCAGCCGTTGTTGTGGTAAAAAGACTTTTTACCCTTAGAGGAAACACATCAGAATAGTTCAGACAAGAGGATAAAAGCATGCATTTGACTTAAGTTGAAAATAGTTAAAACTTTTTCCTGAATATCACATTTAATTCACTAAAATGATCTCCAAAGCATTGCGAAACAGTTCTAATCTATTATAACTAAAACTTACGGGTTTGTTGAGCGAAGAGGAGGAAACTTTGTTTTCCAGAGTTAACCAGAGAAATCCTGTGCACCCGGCAACACGGGCAGCACGATCACGCTCAAGTCATTTAGTAAAAGAAAAGCTTTGTTTGGAGGAGCGCTATGCTGGCTAATCAGCCTCATGTGATTCCAAGCAGGCGTTGGGGTGGATGTAATATTTAAATCTGGTAATCATTTCTACAACACAGGTGAATATGTTCTGTACTCCATTACTGAGTGAGTCCTATATTATAACATTGCAACAATGGGAAACTGTTTGTAAAGTTAGTCAAAAAGTATTGGAAATACTTTGGGTTATTTTGGAGAAAATTAAAGACTTCCTTTTTCAAAGTCGTATTTTCACCACTACATTTATAACTAACAGTTTCAAACTAAATAGGCAATTAGCAAGAAAATATTTAGTTACACTAAATATTTAGCTTGATAACTAAATGCTTAGTTGTTTTTTAAGAATGGTCCACAAGTTGATGCTTTGGGAATGTAGTTAGAGAGAATTAAAGAGAACTTATTATGCAGAATTCACATTTTATACTTTCATTTGGGTCTCAACTGCTTCTAAAAATGTCTTAAGTGCTTATAAATTATGTATGTAAGTTATGTTTGTTTTTTGGTGTGTGGTAAAAGGGTCATTTCAAAAACGCTGGAAAATACAAGTGATTAGTTATTGACTTACCATCAAGAAACAACTTGCTTAATTCTTGTTGGTTGTGTAGGAGGCTCCACTTCTGCTTTTCAAAGATGTACGGTTGTACTATTGTGCATCTATTTGCAGCCATTGTCACACGAGTTTAATCTTTGAGACAGGGGACGTGGCTAACAGAAGATTATTTGGATTTACAGAGACAGGAGCTCAAAATAGACTGAACTGAGGAGACTAAAATCTGAAGAAAATTTGAACAAAAAATGTAAAGAAAGTTTTGTGTAGACTATCTAACCTCACCTGCTCAGGGAATCATAATAAGTGCTTTCCCAATTCATATTTTGATCCAAGAGGAAGATCCAAATAGGTAAAAAATTTCCGCATTTGTCACTCCTTCAATTGTGTTTTAGTAATCAGTCCAGCATTTTTAGGCTTGAAGCCTCCAAAGACGTTCCACTCTGGACAGATACCTTACACGTTTCCTCCGGAAGGGATTTCCCTTGTTCCTGGCAGCCTGTTTTATCCACTCCACAGTTTGAAGCAACAATCATTCATTCTTCAGTTGTGTTCTGTGGCTCCTGATGTGAGTTAAGTTGAAAAATCAGAGGCAATGAGGGCGGATTAGTCACCTGATGTCACTAAAAGGTCTGGATGAGCTCAGCGGAAAAGGGCGACGAACGACGACAGGCTTTGTTCTGGGCTCCAGGCAGCACTGGGTTGAAAATAAACACGATTCATCGCAGCATACGTCTGGAAACTCTTTGTTCTTTCTTGAGTTTGTCATCATTCAGCACGGATTATTTGAAATGCCAGCATCTTTCTTTGTTTCAGCGAAGTCTGAATGGAGCATCACAACACAAAACCACAAACTGTTAACTGAATTAGATTAAAACAGTTTTTAAAATTAATGGGCGGATATTTTCAGTTTCACCACTGTTCCAACTTTATTTCAGTAGAGGAAACAAAACTGTGAAGTACATTTATTGTGTAGCACAGCTTTAGCAATCACAGAAAATAACTGCATTAATACATTAAATTTATAGACGAGAACAAGGTTGGTTGTCTCGCCTTTTATTTTCATCTAAAAATAAATTTGTATCTTTTTTTTCAAAAGATACAAAACAACACATTTGACTTGTTCCTATAACGTTTTAATGAAAAATAATTTTGCAAGAAGGCTTCTGGACAAAGATTACTTTTAATACATTCTTTCAATTTACAACGCTTAATTTAGGATTGAAAAAAGAAAAAAGGTTGTTTGCTGAGCAAAAAAACAAACAAAAAATGTTCAAAGCAATAATTAACCCAAAACTAGACAAAAAAAAATTAGCATTTGGATTTAAGACAAAAACGTTCTTTGTCTGTAGATACTTTCTACCCAGAACTCATCAAGTGGGAGTTTTAGCTTCACCTGGTTCAAATTTTGTAAAAGAAAAGTTTATTAGCATATTCTGCTATCCATTTATTAATCCTACACTGAAGTTAAGATTTGTTTAGCTGTTGATGCGTCCTTTCCTACAAATGATCCAGCAATTAATGCTGGGGTTTTTAACCAAGAAAATCCCTTTATTCTTATTTAAAAAGGAATTGAAATATTTGCTTACTTGCCTTTTATAATGTATTTTAAATGTATGGAATAAGCTTCAGTGGTTTAATGAAAAATTTGCAAAGTGTCCCCATTTTTATAATCCGAATAGCCGATTAACTGTCAGAATAATTGATTACTAAAACAGTCGTTGGTCGCAGTGTTGGTTTAATTTAATATATTCTCAACATTTCATATGCTGACAGAAGATAAAGGCTATCCAAATTATAAAACAGAGAATCAAATTATCAGCAACAGAGCAAGTTCATACTAAAAAGTAAAAACAACATATTTGTATATTAGAGCACTGCCTTTGTACTTTTAAATACAAATAAGTGTTTATTTCAAGAACCATTATTTAAAGATAAGTGAAAACAAACACAGAAAAAATAAAGTTACATTTTGATGTGAAAAACATAAAGAGGCTCCATTCACACAGCAGGTTTTGGTAATCACCTCAGTTTTTTTTCTGAAATTCGGTTATTTTTGTGCAGTCCTTCACACTATTAATTAAACCACAATGAGACTTGTGTGTGAACGGTTTAGATCCCCGAACCGACCCGCATGAGCAAAGAAAACTGTGACGCAGCTTCACTCTGTTTACGGGAGTAAAAACTGTTCATGCATTGATTGTAAAATGGCAGTTTTATGTCTTTTCCGTTTCATTTTATAGCACAATCAAGTAACTATGTTAATTTTAGTTGCTATAAAATTATAGTTATGTCAAATGAGATATGATAAAAATAAATAAAAATTTGACATTGTAATTTAATGACTTGAAATTGGGCCTATGTCTCTTTAAGAAGCTTCTGCTCTGAAACTCCGCCTTTAGGAAGTCATCACAACATGGCTCCTCTGTCAGCCCTTTAGCTATGTTTTTACCAGCATTTCACTGAGAAATAGTTTCAGCACATATTTCCACCAGATGTCTGCTAATTGCTCCTGGCTAGTCTGAAGGAGCTGAGTGGGACAGGGTTGCTCTATGAGGTGGAAACTCGAAGGCGGGGCTAAATCCACCCAGGTGATTAACACAGCTGAATGGTTGCTATGGGGACTCAAGGATTTCTCAAACATGAATGAAAGAATCAAAGCAATAATCCATGTTTTTGATGAAGGAATGACATTTTAACATGATTTAAAGCTCAAAAAAGTTGGTTTTACATAATAGTGTCTTTTTAACAGCTGAGAATATCACATAGTCATATTAAGAAACATGAAGGAAACTCATAAAAAGAAAACATAGCTAACAGAAACGGCTTTTTGAAGTATGTTTAGATTCATAATCAAAGCCAAGGTGTGACTGCGACATGAAGCTCTGACTTCTTCTTTCATAATCACAATTTACAGTCATCAATGACATGAACGTCAAGTAAAATGTGTCATGACTGTCCAAACTGCAGACAGTTTGAAAACAATCAGAATCCAAATTATTACAAAGCATGAAAGTAGAAAAAAACTGATTCTGTTCTGACTGAAAAAGTTGGATACGGGTCGGGTTTCCCTGCTGTGTGAATGTAACCACAGTTATCTCAACTCAATATTGGGAGTCAATATAATTTGTTAAAGCTACTTTGAAAATTCACACACAACAATTTTCTACAGCAACTCCCTCCACTGGTGAGATTTAGCAATCAAAACCATTCGTCCCTAATCGTCGTAAATAAAAATGGTTTTGAACCTTTCAAAGAAGCTGATGTCCTTCTCCAGTTGACTCATCTTCTCCTCCAGGCGGATCTTCCGGGTTTTCTTGGACGGCGTGTCGATGAGGAGAGGAAGGCCCTGATATTCACAGTGGAGTTCATCCCACTTCTTCTTCAGGCCCTTAAAGGAGATGAGTCACATCAAGGTCATGAATGTCCTTAAAGGGACGGTTGTGGCAAAATGTACCAATAAAATTTATTACCAAACTGCTAAAATACCAATAATAGCTGTGTCTTCAAATTCTTTTTTTTTAAATTCTTTTTAATCAAAATCACAGATTTTGTGGAGCTGCTTTGGAAATCTTTTGCAATATTTATGTTTAACAAGTATTAGAATCACGTGGAGAAAATAAAAAATAAAAAAATTACAATTTTATTCTTTATTTTCTGTGTTTACATGCCTCTCGCTTCCTCAGTCTAATGGTGTTTAGTTCAGCAGAGGTTTTAGATGTTCCTGTGCGACCCACATGTTCAGTATTCTGTACACGTCCTGAATCGTGTACCTTCAGGACGGCCTGGTGATCCTCCTCCGTTAGCCGCTCCAGCACATTCTGCTCCCGCGCCAGGGTCTGGTCCTCCTCCCGGGCCTTCCGCTCGGCTTCACTGCGCAGCTGCAGATACGTCGGGACTTCACCGTAATCCTGCAGGTAGAAACCCGAATCAGGGTTCTTACGCTTTTCACACGATAAGATTTTAATAACTTTTCAAGCATTTCCAAGGTACACTGTCGATACAAAAAGTCTTTAGTTAAGGGTAAAATGCTCACAGCTATGGTTGCCAGAGTTTCACCGTATAAATATCAGAATTCAAATGTTATTGATCTTTGAGAATATGTTCTTACATTATTATGCAATTATTATTATATTAATTGAACACTGTCTCAAAACAACAATATTATTGTTTATTGTAATAACTTTTGGGACAAGCTTCAAATCTTTTTTTTTTTTTCTTTTTAATAAACTTTATGGCTCCAATTTAGTTCCATACAATTTCTTCATCAGTTGCTAAACACAGAAGAGAAACAAAAACTTACACAGAATGAGATTTACCCATAAAAGAAAGTTGTATCGATAGACACATCTATCGATACAAGCACTCATCCAAGCTTTCTACATAAAGTACAACAAAACTTTGAGACAGGATGAAGGAAAATATGGAGGGAAAATAGTTTCAAAATACTTTTTCTCTTCTTAGAAAATACCTTTTTCATAACGTATTTAGGAACAAGTCCAGAGTTTTCCAGGAGCTGTTTGTGTCCTTTCTTTGTGTCAACAGAAATGGCCTTAGGCTTCATGGGAAACATGACAGTAGTCTGGAGGAAATCCCTTTTGGTTTGGATCCCCATCAGCGGTTTCTCGGTCCGCCGAGGGACCGTTGGCTTCCTCACTGTGCAGGTCCGAGGCTTATGTCCATCATCGGACTCTGTGCCAAAAGGAAATGGAGACATCAGATTCACACCCCAAAGGTAAATCATCATATAGTTTGATAGAGGGACTTACTCTCAGGTGGTTTGGGTTGCTTCGAGTGTTTTTTCAGGTACTTATCCGGAGACGGCAATTCCACTTTTGGTGGTCCCATAGTCTTCTTTGCATCTTTGTTTAGCTTCTCCTCAAGAATTATAGCTGGCCTGAACTTGGATACATATCTTTATGGAGATTTCAGAACATGATATTACACTAAACAATCACTTCAATCCACGTTCAATAATATTTGAGGAGGAAACGACAAAAACAAATAAATGACCAACAACTTAAGAGAAATTCCATTTTTTATATTTGAGGTCAACAATAAGATAACATTTTAATCTCTCTTGTTGTCTTAGGTTTTAAAGTTGAGTAGAGATATTAAAAATGTGTCTTTTGCTTCATTGGCTGAAAACAATACCATGGTTGGACACCAGGAACTGGTTGAAATGGGAAATCAGTGGAAATTAAAAACCAAATTTTAAACTGTGATTAATACATTTCGGATACCTACACATTTGATGAGATTTAGATCAAATTTGATACATTACACTAGTCAAACCTCAGTTAATTGTGTGCTTTTTTAAAGACATATTCTTTAAAACTCGTTTATGATTTATAAAGCTCACCTTGGTGGTTTTTTAATTTCTTCTTGCTCCTTTGGGATCCAGTCGTAGACGCATCCTGATGGGTAGATGGCTTCAGACATTGTTGCTACTTCAAAATGTAAAAGCAGCTAGCCAGTTCGTTGCTGGGCAACAGTACAACAAACGTGACATTCCGCAACACTCGTAAAGCACCTGACTTACAAAACCACTGCGCTCAAGACATAAAATTACTGTTGACTATCTTAAATAAGTAAAGGTGACTTTTCAGAAATAATAGCTGTCGAAAAATTGCTAATCCAACCGTTACTTTTGTCAAACTTCTGCCGCCTTTGTTACGAAAGCCCTAGATTTCGAGCTTTTCACGTGAACTTGAATGCAGCAAATTATTCTTCCTGTTTTGACGTAACGTGTCTAAGCGCTTCTGCACGTCAATGACGCCGCCATACTGTGGAGGTCAGACTTGTCAAAACTGTTGCAAGATTGCGCAGGAGAAATACAAATGTTGTCACTACTTATTATTTGTTTTAGTCACATTTTTATAAGAAAACACTTCATGGTAATTACTTCTAATTTATCATTCATACTTTTAATATTAATATCCAAACATCTTCAAATTTAGCATTTCTTCATTCCATTGTTTAATATCTCTGTTGTGGAATATGTTTTCTTGAAAAATATTTTTAATAATGCTGGATATCTGTCTTAAGAACAATTTTTTCCCCCAACATCGCGATAAACTGAAACCAAACATGCCTATTTAAGTTTTTCTGAAACTGTTTACCTATTCTTTTAAACCTTAAAAAAATATAAGATTTACCTGTAGTTAGAGCTAATATGTCAAACCATTTGAGAATCATTTAATATAAAACAAATTTTATAAAGATCCGAGCAGATTTGGAGTAATTTTGTCCGTACGGGCTGCCCGTAGTTCACAGAGGAAGGCTGACAACGGTGAGCAAATACAGACACAGTTGCGTAAATAAATCATTATCTCGGTCAAAGAGCGAAAAAACGCATAATACACATTTTCGTGAGTATTTTTCTGAGAAGGTGTATAATTTATAGAGCCTTTTGAAACAGTTTAAAACAACATTGATAACCTTTTAATAATGTACCCTGAAGTCCAATTCAGTCAGTTTTCTGAGCAGGAAGCTTCTCAAAACGAGTTTTCTTCTACTATTGTAGACAAACCATTTAACAAAGTATTATAAAAGACTGATTAGAAAAATGCACAATATACTTTTTGTTTATCCAAATACACGGCCGACATTTTTTTACTTCTTCCGATCTAATTTATTAAGTACACCTGTTTCATTTATTTATCAGGCTGAAAAGTCTTATTCTTACTCTATAATATATGCATGTATATATATTTAAAACTGTGCTTATGGATGAACTGTTGGATAACCTGGATTGTGTGAACAAAAAGTCATTCATTTTCGGCGTTTTGTTAGATGCTATTCCCAAAAGTTTTTTTTCCTTTATATTTTCCTCAACATTGATCATGCTAACTGAGACCTTTAAAGTCAGTGTAAGATGCATCTCCCTGTTATCTTATTTCTCCATTTCACATGCTTATCTTGGGGCAACAGCTACTAGTCATCCACAAGATGTACATCAAACTATTTGTAAAGATACAAGGGAATGGTTGCTCCTCTAACGTCCTTTCTCGTACCTTCCATTCAAAGGGAACTTAGTCAAAATTCACATTTTGCACGTTTTTAAACTTTCATTTGGGTCTCAATTGCTTCTTAAAACAGCCAAAGTGCTTAAAAAAAACTAGATGTTTTGGTGTCTGGAAAATGAGCTGTTTCACAAACCTCCAGTTGTTAAATACTTCCCATGGGTACTGTACGTTGCCTAGAAACCCAGCAAAGCGCAGCCCCGTCACCAAGCAACTCAAGCTGAGTTCGAGCCAATTTTGTCAGCTTGTTTTATTACTCTTTATGTGTTTTACAATGGCTGCTGGAAAAGTCAAGTGTTTTGTTGCCGACTTGCCATTTATAAACCACTTGCTGCAACTACGTTGGTTGTGCAGGAGGCTCCACTTCTGCCTTTCAAAGATCTGCGGCTGTGTAATCCGTTTGCAGCCATTTTCATGTGAGAGTAAAAGTTGAGTTTGGGGTTGTGGCCAGCAGCAACTTATTTGGATTTAAAGTAACAAGAGACCCAAAATAGACAGAACTCAGCAGGTTAAAATCTCACTATGAAGAATGATTTGGTACAAAAATTGTTTTGGATCGACCAAAGACGATAACTTGTTCAATTAAGCATAACAGTCACTTTTAAAAAGAAAAAAGAAGTCCACAGTTTTTTCTGGTTAAAGGTTGATCATTAATATTTGATATTTGTGTTGTGTCTCAATGCATATTCTGTATTTTCATCTCCCTGATGTCTGTGTCTTTGCAGAGGGAAAAGCAGCTGCTCCGTCTGCTTTCCTGAATGGGATTACTCAGCGCCATTCAGCTTTCCTCGAGGACCGTAAGATGCCGTCTGTGCCAACTTTCCACATCAACGTCATGGTTTTCCACAAAATCCTCTCCACTGGGGGGCAAAAACATTCTGCTGATGGGTCCACCCGGAGCAGGAAAGACAACAGTTGGGAAAATTGTGGCCAACAAACTGGGCCTGCCCGCCGTAGACGTCGATGATGATGTCTTAGAGCCGGCATGGTAGATGCCGGTTGCAGCCAAGCTAGCGGAGGTTGGAGGAAGACGTTTCCTGGAGGAGGAAGGTGAGACTTTGAGTAACTTCTCTGTATCTGGATGCATCATCTCCCTGACTGGCTCCAATCCCCTTCATGGCGAGACTATGCAGCTCCTGAAGCAGAACGGGGTTGTGGTTTACCTGGACGTGGACAGCCGGGACATCATGGAGAGACTCGGCAGGATGAAGGTTAACCGGATAGTGGGCCAAGAAGACGGGGTGTCCATGAGAGATATTTTACTGTACAGGAAGCAGTTCTATGAGAAATGGCTGGATGTGAGGGTGTTTTGTGGAATGGGATACACAGTGGAGGAAGTGGCAGAGAAGGTTTGAAGGCAGTGGAGAGATATCTGGAACACGATGAGGAGACTTATGTTTCAACCGGAGTGGCGGCTCAGAATCACCCAATCAAAAAACGTATTTCAGTGATGTGGTTATAGAGGGCCTGGCTGCAGATGGAGGTCTTTATGTTCCCAAAAAAGGCTTTCCAGTCGTTCCTAAAGGCGAATGGCTCAGATTAATTTCCATGTCATACCCAGAGAGAGCTTCGGTTTTGCTGGAGAAGTGCATCCACCCACTTGACGTCTCTCCTCTGGACCTCAGGAGTATGGTGTTTAAAGCATATGGAGACAATTTTTTCCAGTGACAGAGTTGCTCCTGTGAAGCATCTTGTTCAAAATCAATACATCCAAGAGCTCTTCCACGGTCCAACTGCCTCGTTTAAAGACCTCGCCTTGCAGCTGATGCCCCAACTCTTCGTCCACTGCCTCCCACCAATGTGTAACTTCCTCATCCTGGTCGCCACGTCCGGGGACACAGGCAGCGCCGTCCTGAGCGGCTTCAGCCGACTGGGCGGCGCCGACAGACACCGAACAGGCGTGTTGGTGTTTTTCCCAGAAGAAGGAGTGAGTGAAGTCCAGAAGCTGCAGATGACGAGCTTCAGGGAAGGGAACGCCAGAGCAGTCAGTGTCCTGTCAGACTTTGACTTCTGTCAGAAGAGCATAAAGAGGATGTTTGGTGAGTCGGGGCTGACCGGGCATCTCGCTGTGGAGTACGGCACCGTCCTCAGCACCGCTAACTCCATCAACTGGGCACGACTATTACCTCAGGTGTGTTAATGTTCTCCAAAAACTCAAATCCAACTCAAAGTTCCTGGGCGGTTTGGAAAAGTCTTTAAGTTGATTCTGTTATTTTCAGTTCGCCTGATTAGTAGATTAGCTGCTAATCGGTATCTTTATTTCTAGTAGCAGTTAGCTGAAATTGCACTCTGCCAAAGTATTTTTATTTTCAGTACCAGTAACCCGGCAATATTGTGATGGTTTCCTGAAGCCGGAGTTTCAGGAAGAGCTTGAGTTTCTTAAAGAGACAGAGACCCATTTTCTTTAAATTATGAAGTCAAATTCTTCTAAATCATATTTCATATATATAATTTTTATATAAACTTAAGTAGTAGTTGCTTGATTCTTGTATAAATGACACAATGTCCCTGGAAAATACATAATACTGCCCTTTTAAAATAGTTAATTAATTTGTTGTTGAGTAGGTAAAAAAAAAAGCACAACATTTTTGGTGATTTCAGCTTTTTAAAGTGCGATTTTGGTCTACTAAAAGCTTTGACACTAATTGTTTGTTTTCCTCTCCCAGGTTGTTTATCACTCTTCTTGTTATTTGGATCTGTGCAGAGATGGTGTGATTAACTTTGGAGATCCTGTGGATGTTTGTATTCCTACTGGGAACTTTGGTAATGCCATGTCAGCGTTGTACGCCAAGCAAATGTGCATCCCGATAAGGAAAGTAATCTGTGCGTCCAACCACAACCGAGTCGTGTCGGACTTCATCACCACAGGCCAGTATGACCTCCAGGGTCGCCCCCTGCTGCTCTCCCACTCCCCCGCCATAGACATCCTGAAGTCCTCCAACCTGGAGAGGTTCATCCACCATGTCTCAGGAAACAGCAGCCTGGTCGAAGACCTCTTCACTCACTTAGATGCGCAGAAACGCTTCCAGCTTCCTGAGCGTCTCCTCGGCAGGATGCAGCAGGAGGTGCAGGCCGGCTGGTGCTCTGAGGAGGACTGCTTGGCCGCCATCCAGGATCTCCACAGTCAGACGGGATACCTGATGGATACGCACACCGCTGTGGCGAAAGTGGTGGCCGATCGGCTGCAGGATGGATCGTGCCCTACGGTGCTCTGCTCCACTGCGCATTACGGGAAATTTGCTCCTGCCATGTTCAAAGCTCTTCGGATCCAGAATGTTCCTTCGGATCCCATGGAGCAGCTGGAGCAGCTGGAAGTGGCTGCGTCTGAACCGGCAGCACACGGAGAGATGATGAAACGCCTGAGGCAGAGAGGCGGGAGCCGACACAGAGCTCTTCAGGCAGATTACAGCATTCTGGTGGAGGAGGTGGACAGCATGATACAGGACTCCTTC